ATAAAGTGTACATTTATCACTTATTTAATTAGACTTAGAGATAGTTTTAGAATTAGATCGTAGTTTTAGTTTTAAGTTAAGTACATCGTAGGTTAAGTTTTAGCTTTTAATTTAAAATATGACTCGTGGCGTTCCGTCTTGCCTCAGTTACTTTTTCAAATTGACCCTTCGTCAGTCCGTTAACCCAAGCTTCGTTCTTCCTATCGTTCAGTTAGTGTTGTCGTGTTTTGATGCAGAGTTGCATTAAGTAGGATCCCACATCCGGCCATCCTGAATTGTCATACGGCTCGGATGACTAGGTCCATGTCTTCATATACTCCGCTACAGTGGACGTACGATGCGGTCCCTCATGGTCCCCAACCTTTTCCACTTCATAGCGCCCGTGCCCCATTTTTTTCAAAACTTTATAAGGTCCTAAATACTTCGCTCTTAATTTCATACCTATCCCATACTGTGTTCGCTTAATGGCTACTAAAGTATCTAAGTCGTATTCGCTTTCAAGCTTGCGTTTAGCATTAAAAGTCTTACGATTTTCTGTCTGGATTGCCAGTATATTGCGTTGAGCTTCGCTTCGAATCTCATCACGGCTCTCATCTAACTCTGCGATTGCCAATTCATTCAGAACCTCACGTACATCTCCTAACTGCGGTACACGCATTTCCATACCCGTTATTATTCTGAATGGTGACACTTTTGTGCTTCTCGGCGGGGTGTTATTAATCACCTGTTGAACCCTGTCAACATGTTTGTACCAACTGTTTGGGTTATCTTGACTAAATTTAGCGATCATGGGAACAATGATTTTATGAATTCTCTCTACCTGACCGTTTCCCTGTGGAACCCCGGTAGCAATTAAAAGTCGTTGTATATCTTGACTTTCGCAATATTACTTGAAAAGACCCGACGAAAATGCTGAAATCAGAAATTATCCTTTTTGGATTTCCGAACACTGCCGCTTGCTGTTTAAGCCTATCAACGACGGTCTCTGCTCCCGTGTTCTTGGTTGGGTATAGCCAAATGAATTTGGAGAAGGCGTCAACTACCACAAATATATAATTGTACTAGATTATACCCGCGGGTTTCACCCCGCGCTTTTATACAAATGGGAAAAATAATTTAATGATGTTAGATATTATTTCTGTGCCCATTTCGTTATAGCTCGTTATTTTTTAAGCGAGTTAAGGTATTAAGGCCGTTTAAAACTACGAAATTATAAAATCTCGTATGCGCGCTAGGCATACGAAATATATCAATCCCTCTAAGTTTACCTTAAAATGTTTCCAGGTATACGACGCGTGAACGCGAAACCTTCTTGGAGGTGCCACGGCGAGTTCTAATATTTCCAACTCAAATTTAGTAACCTGGCCTTGATAAAATACCACTTCTCATTACTGTAGCAAATGCCTCAAGAGATTATAAGGTCGAACCCGGCTCTCCCTTTTCCGTTTAATGAAATTAATACTGTCTTTCACAAACACCTCCAGGGATATGTGGCAAGAAAACGTAAATTTGTACTGGAAGTGCCACGCCCCTTTTTCTTATAACCCTAATCTTCCTCCATGAATTTAGAATTGATTTTACATACCCCAGTACCAAGTCCCAGTACTCCACCATGAACACCTCTAGAGATAAGCAGTATAAAACAGTAAATTTGAACGGCAGGAATCATGTCCCCTTTACGAAGAACGCAAATTCTTCTCTATGAGTACGGAATTAATTTTGTATACACATCTCGGTGCCAAGTTCCAGTCCTCTGCAATAAACACCTCCAGAGATATGCAGTATAGAAAAATCAATTTGCATGGGAGTTGCCACACCACCTTTTCCAATAACTCTCATTTTTCTCCATGAGCATGGTATTAGTTTCACATACATACATGCATACCTATGTATTTCCATACCAAGCTTGAATGCTTTACCCCAAACATTTGAAGAGATATGCAATATGAAACTTTCAGTTAGTATGGGAGGTTCTACGCCTCTTTTCCAAAAACGTCCATTTTTCTCCGTGGATATGAACATGATTTCACACAATGTTGGCAAACTGTTAATCTAATTAAAAATTAAGTAGTCGTAATCAACTGTACGATTAATGAAAACATTTTTTCAATCGTTAATCGCTGGCTGCGATTACGTTTAATTAATTTAACACATTAATCGGTAATCCAATTAAAAATAAAATCTGATTAATTTGTCTAGTTTGTCCAAGTTTGAAACCAAACACCAGTTATAGTAATTACTTTGTGTTTTACGCTTATAAAAAGCACGTAATATAAAAAATTATAATTATTGTTATTATTAATACATAAACTGGGAACTTTTACAAACCTAGTTTGTAAAACGTTTGTTGGTATATATCTTAATGAAAATGCACACCAAATTGCTTAGATTGATGGGGAAACCCGACTTAGCCATACCGGATTAACATGCTTTGTGTGCACAGGGAAATTCCAGCATAACTTAATTAATCACCAAACCTACTTGATCAAATTAAGAGTAAATGATTAAAAATTAATTTTTTATTCGCGGTTACGATTAACTGTTTAGTCGGATTAAAATTAATCATGATTAACTGTAATCAGATTAAATTTAATCGAATTAACTAACTAATTAAAACCAACATTGATTTCACATACATATCACTATACCAAGTTTCAGTTCTCTTCCACAAATACTTCCAGAGATATGTATGTAATATGAAAATTCCAATTTGTATGGGAGGGGCCTTGAGTTATCGGACTTACTTTCAGTCTAAGACCATCCTTCCGAAATCCGTAGTAAGAGTACTAAATTTCGTTCTGATCGGAAAACCGGTTAAAGAAGTAGCCTATTTTTCAATCCAGGTCATAAACCATCCTTGAGCAAAATTTCATTTTCAAACAGGTGGCAATTCTTAAAAAAGTAGCCTATTTTCCAGTCTAGGTCATAAGCTATCTGTGTGCAAACTTTCATGCAAATCAGTTCAATCATTTCCACGTATTAATTTAATTAAACTTTCCTAATACGTGATAACTCTTAAAATAGTAGCCTATTTTCCAGCATTGGTCATAAGCTATCTCTGTGCGAAATGTCATGCAACTCTTTTCAGTCGTTTCTGCGTATTAATTTAATTAAACTTTTTTAGCAGGTGGTAACTCTTAAAAAAGTAGCCTATTTTTCAACCTAGCTCATAAGCCATCTGTGTGAAAACTTCCGTGCAAATCAGTTCCCTCATTTCCGCGCATTAATTAAATTAAACATTTCTAACAGGTGTCAACTCTTAAAAAAAAGTAGCCTACTTTATAACCTAGGTCATAAGCTATCTGTGTGCAACATTTCATGCAAATCCGTTCAATCGTTTCCGCGTATTAATTTAATTAAACTTTTTTAACAGGTGACAGCTCTTCCAAAAAATTAGCCTATTTTCCACTGTAGGTCATAAGCTATCTGCTTACAAAATTTCATGCAAATCTATTCAGTCGTTTCCGCGTATTAATTTAATGAAACTTTTTTAACAGGTGGCAACTCTTAAGAAAAGTGGCCTATTTTCCAATCTACGTCATAAGCTATCTGTGTGCAAATTTTCATGCAAATCCATTCAGTCGTTCCCGCATATTAAATAAATGAAACTTTTTTAACAGGTGGCAACTCTTAAAAGAATAGCCTATTAACCAATCCGGCCCATAAGCTATCTGCGTACAAAATTTCATGCAAATTCGTGCTGTCGTTTCGGCGTGATGATTTCCCAAACATCCAAACATACAAACTTTCACATTTATAATATTTATAAGATTGCTTTTTTGTTGTATCCATTGGGCCTACATGATCTACGTGATATCGTCGGTCCCTACGAACAGTAGCACATTTCACTATTCGCGTGGAAGACTAGCACATTTCACTATTAGCGTGGAAGACTAGCACATTTCATTATTCGCGTCGAAAAGTAGCACATTTCAGATTTTTGCGTGGAAGACTAGCATATTTCACTATTCGCGTGGAAGACTAGCACATTTCAGATTTTTGCGTGGAAGAGTAGCACATTTCAGGTTTTTGCGTGGAAGACTAGCACATTTCAGAATTTTGCGTGGAAGAGTAGCACATTTCAGGTTTTTGCGTGGAAGACTAGCACATTTCAGATTTTTTCGTGGAAGAGTAGCACATTTAAGGTTTAAAATAAACCATAAAGGCATAATTTATATTGAAAATTAAGTGCTTATTTTATATTTCTATAATGGTATTATAAAATTCATGAAATTCAGACGGTATAAAGCGTTTAGTGATCATTTGCTGGAGCTCATCCACTTTTGTTTTTTTTAAGGCATTTTTCCCCTTTAAGCTTTACGCAATTCATATTGTTTTATGGTTAACCATTGAAAATTTGTTTTCGGTATGTTCAATTTCAATTAAAATAAAGTTCATTAAAAAAAAAACATGTAAACCCACGCTTAAAACTTTGTAGAAATCTAAAAAAAAAAATCAACTAATCTTCAGCCAAATTTCAAACTTATTTACTCAGAAGTGCTAAAATTTGTTTGAGTATGAAGCTTTTTGGCCGATTCAATTATAGT